CGCTAACCAATGGTAACCCATTGACAATCACATCGACTGCCACCGCGAGAACAGTGACCCGTGCGGTGACGACCACCACTGCCCCGAAGCCAATACTTTCCACATTTGCCTTAAACCTAAGAGCTGCTGATATTAACGCCAAATCGATGGTTAAGCCGCCAATTATCTCAGCGGTGGTGTCCAATGGCATCAATGACGACGACACTCAAAGCGTCGCCAGCGATGACTCAATATTTTCGCGCAAATCTCTGCCAAAAATAAAATCACCCGAACCACAGGCGCCCAAAAAGCCTGAACCCGAAGGCATCAAAGGTTTGCGTTCAATATCTTAATGTTGGATCAAATATTAATGTGCTATGAATTGGATGTCTAGAACCGGGCGCCGACGCCAACACGTGCTTCCGTCTGAAGCAAATCCCGGACCAAACGAAAGCCCGGATTATGAAACTGATCGACGCCTACATGCCAGTGGGCATCGCATTGTCTCAATTCCTGAACCTATATAACATGAATTACGAACAAATCGATTTGAGACAATACCGGGTGTCCGACACCAGCGATCTGTTTCAGATGCTGCGGACAGAGCTGCCCATAACCGTCAAAATGGTCGACGGCGTGACTCATGTGTTCCTTAAGCCCAAGGAAGAGGTGCGCGAATGGGTGGGCGACTGTTGCCGCCAACAGAGGTATATCATTCCCATAGTGTTTGTGGACACGATTGCCAACGTGGTGTTGCCGGGAGACAAGTACACAATGGTGACCCCACCGGGCGCGTTCGAGGCGGGCAACAACGAGTACGTGGCGGCCTTTATCGCATCAGCCCAGAGCCCATCAGAGATATTCATCCAATTCAAAGGCAAGGAGTATCACTCGGCGCTCGAGAAGCTCATGGATGACCTCGAGTTCTACGATACCGTGCCCGAGGAGGTCTGGTCTCTGCCCTACGAGTTCGTCACCTTTGGAATGCCGTGTATCGCACGATATCCAGGTATGCGTCAAGCGAAACCTCTCAGATGTCTGTCCATTTGATTGTTGACCGTATATTTGTAAATGTGTGTCATTTGATCCATTAGGTGACAAGTTCTGGCACAGGGCTCGTATCACTCGCGTCTACGCCAACCAGAAGCGAGTGGTGAACGTGTCGTTCATAGACTACGGAGGGATGACTGTCACCGACTATAAGAATCTGCGGCTAATGAGACGCGACTTCCTGTCGCTGCCCGTCCAGGCGCTCAAAGTGGGCCTCTACGGCATTAAACCCATTTTGGGCGACAAGTGCTGGACGACCAGCGCCAGGGATAAGGTGTTGCGCTTCTCNATATCACTGGACTGTCTGTCCGGTGGTTACACACGTATATCACTGGACTGTCTGTCCGGTGGTTACACACGTATATCACTGGACTGTCTGTCCGGTGGTTACACACGTATATCACTGGACTGTCTGTCCGGTGGTTACACACGTATATCACTGGACTGTCTGTCCGGTGGTTACACACGTATATCACTGGACTGTCTGTCCGGTGGTTACACACGTATATCACTGGACTGTCTGTCCGGTGGTTACACACGTATATCACTGGACTGTCTGTCCGGTGGTTACACACGTATATCACTGGACTGTCTGTCCGGTGGTTACACACGTATATCACTGGACTGTCTGTCCGGTGGTTACACACGTATATCACTGGACTGTCTGTCCGGTGGTTACACACGTATATCACTGGACTGTCTGTCCGGTGGTTACACACGTATATCACTGGACTGTCTGTCCGGTGGTTACACACGTATATCACTGGACTGTCTGTCCGGTGGTTACACACGTATATCACTGGACTGTCTGTCCGGTGGTTACACACGTATATCACTGGACTGTCTGTCCGGTGGTTACACACGTATATCACTGGACTGTCTGTCCGGTGGTTACACACGTATATCACTGGACTGTCTGTCCGGTGGTTACACACGTATATCACTGGACTGTCTGTCCGGTGGTTACACACGTATATCACTGGACTGTCTGTCCGGTGGTTACACACGTATATCACTGGACTGTCTGTCCGGTGGTTACACACGTATATCACTGGACTGTCTGTCCGGTGGTTACACACGTATATCACTGGACTGTCTGTCCGGTGGTTACACACGTATATCACTGGACTGTCTGTCCGGTGGTTACCTGAAGCACAACAGTGCCGAAGAGTACGCCGCACGCGATGGTCACGTGAAAGCGGGTCAACACGAGCCCAGAACCGGCCAATTGGGACAACATATTGATTAAGACAAAAAGTGTGGCCAATATGTAGCCACAGCCCCATTGGCTGTTCATGTAATCCCTCTGCTCTGACCACTGGAACCACATGCGGATGCCATCCTCGATGAATGTGGACACCAGACACAAGCGGGCTATCGTTGGTAGGATTGTCTTCGACCGACGCAACACCTGATCCAATGGTCACAAACACACATATTAGTCATCCAGATATCAATCACAAGACTCGATCGTATCTCAAGAGTACGTAAACAAGAGATAAATGTCAGATATAGTCGTGCGTTCAGTACTCACCTCATCCGCCACGTCCTCAGCCTTTGATATCAACTCCTGTCTGTTGGACATGACTTTCGGGTGATTATCGCATCAATGGTGAACCGATGGATCAATTAGCCGTCGATTTGGTGTCAATAATAACAAATAAATGTATTATTGATTGAACGCCACGTGTATTGACTCGTATTCAATGCACAGCTAATCACTCAATACAATAGACTTCAATGAGTTTTCACAGTCAACGCAATCATAACATTGAACGCCAGTGACTGCCAGTCAACGCAAATCATATGGACTTTCGCTGCGAACTGTTATTCATATAAAACGCCAATTCATAGGAAAAGTGAACAAAGTTTTGACAAATAAGTGAATTTTAATTTCTTTAATATTGTTTTATTTTGTAATTAATATTAATTAAAGTTCTATACTCATAGAAAAATAGTATTTTTGGCATATTTTTAGTTAATATTTGACTACACAAAAAGTTAACATCGAGTTAACAATCACATTTTCTTTTTAAATACAAATTTACAAAAATCAGATTAACTTTTATATTTTATAGTTTTACAGTTATCAAGCATTTATAATAAACAATTTTTATAGTTTTAATCAAACATAAGTTTTTTAAATGAAATGACTATTCAATGAAAAAGATTATAATTACATTTATAAGTATTTTTAACACATTTATTCAGTCTATAGATTGACTGAACGGATAGTTATTGAAAAATATATCAAAAGTAATGAAATTATGAGATTATATATGGAAACAAATCCGTCATAAATTGCAACTAAAAAATTAAGTAATTAACAGAAAGGTTTGAAATTGAGATAATAATCATCACAATAATCACAACATCTCAAACCAATTGCAAACAAATGTTTTTAATGCAAACATTGGGCGCCCTTTAACTGAGCAAATCATCGACAGTATTGGCCTCCAGAGCGGTGTCATCAGAGAGCGCGTGCTTATCGTTGATCAACACGCTGTGGATGAATATGTCAGACATGGTGTTGGTGTCACAGATGGCCACCTGTGCGATGCCTTTCTTATACTCAATCAAAGTGGTGGCCAACGCGTAGTTAGGCTTTGAGAAGCGCAACACCTTATCCCTGGCGCTGGTCGTCCAGCACTTGTCGCCCAAAATGGGTTTAATGCCGTAGAGGCCCACTTTGAGCGCCTGGACGGGCAGCGACAGGAAGTCGCGTCTCATTAGCC